TTGAAGAAAATCATAGGAATCTGTTAGCTATTCTGTTCAATTTTTCAGGATAGTTATTTTATTTTTTTTTCATTGAGTTTATTGGTACCCTTTAAATATACAGTATAGTTACATTTATCATTGGGCTCTTGTACCTTTTATAAGTCTTTTTTCATGCTAAGGACTGAAGATTTGGGTCCCCTCAATGTTCATTTGTTAAAATCGAATCCTAGATGTGAAAGTATGAGCAAGCGGGATTATTTAAAAGGTTGGTTCATGTTGCCAGATTCTTCATGAGTGGGATTTGTACCCTTAATGTGGTGGAGACCACAGTTCTTCCTTTATATCGTATAATGATTCAGCAAAAAGACACATTCTCTGAATCAGAAGACAGGCCCTACACAAACATTGAGTCTACCACTCACTCAATCTCAGACTTCTCAGCCTTTAGAACTTGAAAAGGAAATATATATATTGTTCAGATATTTCCAATAAATAAGTTTCTGTTATTATACCAACCCAAAAGGATTAAGTCTAGCCTTTGGTTTCCACATGATTCATTTATTTAATAAATGGCTATATTTTGGCAACTATAATACAAGTTATATTCTAGTTGTAAGGAGCACAAGTTAATCACTCAAGCCACTGTACTCTTGGGTTTCTCAATCTAGAAGTGGGAAATTAATAAAATGGTAAAAAAATTAAGCTAGAAATGGTCAAAATCATGATGAACCACATGTAAAAAAGCACCGATGCAAGATAATTTAGGCAGGTTAGATTTCTTCTGACAAGACAACTTTAAGCCTCAAATCTTTATCATTAGAGAAAGAGATATTCATATGAAACTCTGGGTGAAGAGTATTCCAAGTAAACTGGCATATTAGAAAACTTTGTCTTACCTTCTTTTGGAGATTGCAAAAATTTAATCAATAATTTAAAAATTTTTCTTTGGCTAGCCAAACTTTGAATGGATAGGAAATCTTGTGCCTAGGATCATACACTTTGTAATATATCTTTGTGGTACTTTGGTGAAAAAGATTATTATTATTTAATGTTTTCATCAGTGGTGTATAAAAGTGACAGACTATGCCAGCAATCCTGAAAGAAATATTATCTCCATGAAATGCTGTTATCTTTATCAACACCAGAGCCTTAAACTGTTACCCTATAACACAAAGTCTAATGAAAAAATAGGCACACAATAAAAAAAAATCTATACTGGATAGAAGATCACTGGTATTTGGGAGACTGTGCCTTGAAGTGCTTTCTGGATATTTAAAGCAATGATTTATTTAAAAAATAAAAGGGAAAACACAGAACAATTGCAATTGAGTTCATTCAAATTCTGTTTGATGACTATTAAATATTTGGGGCTTTATGAATGTGAGAAATCTCTCCATTAAAGGCATTAAGTCGCTAGGATAAATACTACTAGAACATACATTCTTTTTTTCTGTTTTAGATTAGGAGATTAAGGTAGACAACCTATTTAAAAAGCTGGAGGAAACACTTCACACGACTTAGTAGCAGGTGGTAGAGCCATAGCAGTTACTTCACAAACAAAAATCTATACACAAAACAGAAAAGTAAAAAAGCCTCAAAAGTGAAGCATACCCACTTATTTATAAAGTGCATTAATACTCTAGGCTAATGGACCTGACAATAATATGAATTATCAAAGAGTCTGATTTCGCCTAGCAAAACAATAGATATTCTGATTTTACTGTTTACTGAATATTTTTGTGAAGTCAGATTTTCAGCTATTGTTGTATTTAAAGAAAAGATAAATTGATTATGGATTACCCTTTTCTTCCCTCTAGGAGAAGGCAAAATAGTGTGAGAGTTAAGACCACAGATACTAAAGACAGAATGATCAAAGTTCTAATCCAGACCCAACATTTTTTCATTCTTAAACATGAAAATATCCTCTGAGCCTTGATTTACCATCTGCTTTAAAGGTGGAATGAGATTAAATGAAATAAGATATGTGAATTTTTAGCATAGTATTTAGAACATAATAAGAATTTTTGAAATTATAGATCTTAAAAATGATTACACACATAAGTAGCACATATATTGTATTCATGCTCACTCTGTAGTTAAATAACAGGAACTTATTGAAGTTCACTCAGCAGAATATGAATTTTTCTATCTTTCACAAAAGGGTCACCACTTTTACATGAAAAATGAAAATGAGAGATATATAGGCTCTACATTATGTATATGTTGACAAAATGAATTTTGAATGGAATAAAATTAATTTATACAAATTTATGTGTATATATTTTTCTGAATAACATTGTTTTCATCAGTTTCTTACAGATATTCATGACTTGTCTCCCATTGAAAAAGATAAATTTAAACACAATTTTTCTCTATGCCCATGTAAAGGGACCAAAATAAGAACATCCAGTAATTCCATGAAGGGAGATGGGTGGCATGGGATGGAGTAGGTGGAAAGAGAAGAGTATAAGAAAGTGCACCAGGGCAGCATTTACTTATTAAAACACATTCTGAATAAAATGTACATGACCAATAGAAATAGCAATTTACCAGTCTTTCAATTGTTTCTGTGAATGATGGTGTGAACCCTCTCTTTTTCCACTGGGTTTACTCAAAAGTTAGGAGATGTCTTTATATAAACAGCCAGTTGAAAATTTCAGAGCAAGGGAAAAGTTTATCTTTTCTAAGAAGCCGATATGCTTCTACTCTACAAAATGAAATATTTCCTATTTATTCTTTAGAGTCTTAGCTCTTAAGCTCAATGTTATGGTTTTTATTTATCCTAAGTAACTCCTCCTGAGACTTTGACTTTTATATATTTTCTATGTTCTAGTTTTCCATTTCCTTATGTTGTTTCTGTACTTTGGTCCTTGTTTTAATGGTTGTACTGTAACTGTATCCTTTTTAGGTCACCACATATTTCCCTTTAAAAGTAGATGTTATAAAAAGAATCACATCACAGAGGTATATGCTCACTCATGTTTGTAGTGGCATAGTTTTGGAAACAGCCCAATTGCCCATCAACTGTAGACTGGATAAAAATGTGTGTTGTTTTTTTTTTTTTAATAGAGTACTAGTCAGCCATAAAGAATGAGAAACTAGAGATATTTAATGCTAAGTGGATGTATATTGAGCTAAATTGCTGCCTGAGGCCATACTCTTAAGTGAAATTAATAAGTCATTTTCTCTGGTGTGATAAACTAAAAGTGTAAATAAGGATCAAAATGTATAACTGATATTGTGTAATAGGAAACAGGACTAAAAGAGTAGATGAAGTGGGAGGGGTAGGGGAAAGGTAAAAAAGGAGAAGAAAAAATATGTGAAAAGGAAAAACACGGAAACAATGTCTTTGTAAATAGGGAAGGGTGGAAGGGGTGAAGGGAGGGCTGGGGAATGGGAAAAATTAGAACCAAGATAAGTCATGTAACAGTAAAAGATCCCAATGACTAATGTAACTGTACACCTAAAATGTACCAATAAACTTAATAAAAATAAAAATAGATGACATACACATAAAGGCAATAAGGAAGAGATTTCTCAAATATATACTTTTTTTTTTTGGTACTGGGGATCAAACTCGTGACCTTGAGCTTGTGAGGCAGGCATCGGCACCACTTAGCTAAATCCCCAACCCTCAAATATTTAGCAAGCTTAACAGAGAAAAATCCTTAGTTCATAATTTTTTGAAGTTTGAATTAAAATACTTACAAAGTATAAACAAAAAGACATAGTTCCCCAAGTTTAAATTGTATGGTTTTTGTTCTGATAATTTCTTATTCTAGTTCTCCAATTTGAAGCCATGTGCTTCAAATATTATTCTCTAGATTAATCCCCTTACCACTTCATCAACAGTGCATATATTTGACCCCTTTTGCCCTAGCAGTGGATTTTTTCAGCCACATACTGTGTTCCCATAGCAGTAATCTGCTCAGAGGGCAGACAGCTACACCTGCTGCCTTTTTTGCCTGACATTAGTTACCTTTACACTGTTTCATTAGAAATTTTCTGTTTTTTCCAAAAAGAAGTATTCCATACACTTAATACTGAATACTTTATGGAGAACAGCCACTGTCAAAGGGAACAAGCATTAGGATTACTGAAAGCCTCTGTTGTGAGCTCCCGAGGACTTTCCTTTAACATTATTGTTTTACACACTACTGTTTTCCACACCTTCCCACAGCAGCTCTAGAACACATCAGGGAACTAACAGATGCATGTTGAGTAAGCAAAAAAATAAATTTTAAAATTATATTAATTTTTTAGTAGTTTTCTATACCTTGAAAGTGGGAAATTTGCATGCAAACCATATGATTGTTTTGATGTTAGTGATAACAGTCCTAAACTTCCTTCTGGAAAGGAAATTCAATTTTGCAAATGTGTAATGGTGAATGTGAACCCATAACAACCATTCTTGGATTTAGCTAAACATGCCTAAATAAGTACTTTAAATAATTTTAATTTTATCCAGCTGTCAGTTTCGTTAGGACTTACGAGATTAAGAAGAAGAAGCTAGTTCACCCATGTTATGGTTCATCCTGCCTATTCACACTCATACATATAGAAATACGTGCATATGCATGTATATAATACATATAAAAACTTGCTAACTGTCAATTTACTCATATTTTATAGATGGCATACTGGTAAATAGCCTCAGCTAGGACAGAGTAATTTCCAGCACCGGTATATCAAGTGTCAGGGAAAGAAGTACAATTCCTTCTGCCTCTGAGTTAAACATAACAGGGTCACATACCTCTCTGGATCCTTATCACTGTCTGCCAGATGCATAGTCCCAAAATGACGGCCGTCAGTAGCCCACACACAGCGACCACCAGCATTCTGATGTTACAGGTGCTGCTGGCAGCCATGGTGAAGCCGATTCACAAACCAAATCACAAATCATACAAGCAGCTAGCTTTGCTTGTTGTTGAGCCAATAAATTAATCAAATTCTGTTTTAAAGCATAAAAATAATTCCTCCTTTCAGTGATGTATCAGGAAGGTCTTCTTGTATTTCAGATGTTTTGAGGCTAATCCAGCAGGACACAGTTCAAATGACCTAATAAATGGTGTGTATTGTGATTGCAATGTCCTCATCCTTCACAGAAAGAGGACCTGAAAAAAAAAATGACTGGTGTTAAAGGAAAATGAAGGTAAGTCAGGGCAATAAAAAAGGAGGAGGAACTAGCAAAGTGGGGTCAAAGGGTGAATACCTGGACAAACAGGAGAGTGAACAAAGGGAGCATAAACAAAGGAACCAGAGAGAAAATCAAGAAGGCAATGGATCCTGGTGTCCACCTGAAGCTAAACTCTCTGTACATTTGTTTTAGGACTGTCTAGCACAGGTAGACCAGCAGGTGTCTCATGCCATACAAACGCTTTCTATAGGAAATGAAGTCTGTTGTCAGTGTGAGGATAAACAGCACTAGACACAAGGGATTCCAGTTTTCATTTAAGGGTGCTACATTTTGACAGCTGTGGTTGGTGAGCAGGCAGCTGGTTCAGAGTAAGGTTTAACAAGCACTAAAGTCTAGTATCACAATCCATCTACTATGAGCTGAATTGTGTTACCACCAAAATTTGCATGTTGGGGTTCTAACATCCAGTAATTCACAATGTGACCTTATTTGGAGATAAATTTATTATAGAAGTAATTGAGTTAAAATGAGACCATTAAGGTTTCCAACAGCAGTTTAGCTGGTATCCTTACAAGAAAAAACATTTGGAAACAGAAATGCATAGAGGGAAGATGACATGAAGCTACACAGGGAGAAGACAGCCATCTATCAGCTACAACAAAAAAGTTGGAACAGGACATTCCCACAGTCTTCAGAAGAGTTCAATGCAACTAACATCTTTTTTTTTTTTTTTTTTTTTTTTTTTTTTTTTTAAGCAATAACTTTTTTTTTTTTTTTTTTTTTTTTTTTTTTTTTTTTGAGACAGGGTGTCACTCTCCAGTTTAGGCTAGCCTTGACCTCACTATCCTAGGCTGGCCTCAAACTCATGGCAATCCTTCTGCCTCAGTCTCCTGAGCACTGGGATTACAGGCATGTGTTACACTAGGCCTAGGTAACATCTTGATTTTAGACTGAGATAATAAATCCTATACTCAAACAGTTCAGTTCATACTACTTTGTTACAGCAACCCAGGGAAGAAAATACTTTGAGCTCCTGCAAGCTGATGTCTCTTTGCAGCTACAGAACTCTTTTGCCCTGAACTTCATGTTCTCCCCCATCCTCTCTATGTCGTCAAATGAATGATGAATGAAAGAATGAAAGACAGCTTATTTCCTCAGAGTTGTTTCTTGAGAATGAAACAGATGCTCTGGATGCTCCCTCAGTCCACTAAACTCACATTTATTAAGTGGCTTCAGTGTGTCAGAATTATTACAAGATATGGATGGGACCACAAAGAACTCATATTTTTTTAGGGATGAGATAACAAAATATAACCCTTTTTTTAATGTTAAACAAAATGAGTTTATTTAGGTGAATTTTTATGACATGTTTTGCTTTTCATACATTGTAGGCTGAAATTTTGTTAGCTTTTGGTTTCTTTTTTTTTTTTTTTAGTTTATTAGTACATTTTAGGTATACAGTACAGTACAGTTATATTCATTATTGGGATCTTGTACCTTTACAAGACAGGTCTTAGCTTTCATTTTTTCCCCTGTCCCTGCCCTCCCTTCACCCCCTCCTCCCCTCCCCATTTACAAATACTTTATTTCCATTTTTTCATTTTCTCATTTTTTTTTCTTTTCCCTTATTACCTTTCCCCTACCCTTCACTTCCCACTTTCCCTACACCTTTATCCCTTTTCTTCCTATTTCACATTGTCAGTTATCTCATTAGGATCTTATGTACTCTTAATGAGACAAATAGTAACTATTAAAATGAAGAATAATACATTTTAATTACAACAGAATACTAGGTCATTAATTCCTTCAGGAGTATTAAACAAGGTTTTATAAAACAAGCTTTATATTTAAGCAGACCTTTGGTTTACCCCTAAACAAAATTGGTGTTTTCCCCAATTCTCTGTATCACTTAATTTATTAAAGTACAACTTTGAGAGATATGGGCTTCAAGCCTAATTTATTCAACACCAAGTTCAGAAAAATAAAGTGGAAAGAATTAGAGAGACTGCTGCAGAAGTACAAAACAAATGAGTCTATTTTCTCATTTATTATGGATACATTAAAACTATTCCTTTACAAGATCCCAATGATGAATGTAACTGTACTGTATACCTAAAATGTACCAATAAACTCAATGAGAAAAAAAAACTATTCCTTTAATGTCTACATATGTTATCCACAGAAACTACTTGGAAGCATACACAATTTTTTTCACGGAAATATGGGGTAGTTTGGGTGAGAAAAATAATTTTTAAAAATTTTACATTCTTTTCATGGTTTTGAAGGTTCTATTGGTTCTATGTCTCTAAAGAACAAATACAAGGACCATTTTTCAAAAAGCATCATGAATTTTCCAAAATTACAATGCCTATCATTTCCCCCAAATCTTAATACTGCTGGATGATATGTAAGGATACTCAAGAAATTTTGGTAGACATATAAAATATTCATAATTCCTTGTGTTTATTTGCACTATTTAGGTATACAACATGATGACATTCATCATTGGGAATGTGTAGCTTTACATAATATATTTTGGTTCTTATTTGCCCTCCCTTCAACCCCTCCACCCCTCACAATTTACAAAGACTTTGTTTCCATTGTTTCATTTTTTCATATCTATTCCTTTCCTTTCCCCCACCCCTCCCACTTCCCTTTTGGACCATATCTTCCTATTGAATATTATCTATTATACGTTTAGACCCTTATTTACACTTTCAGTTTCACACACCAGACAATATATGCAATATTTACATATGTGTGTCCTATTTACTTCACTTAAGAGTATAACCTCAGTGTACATCCAATTAGCTATAAATGTCTCTAGTTCCTCATTCTTTATGGCTGAGGTGTACTTTATTATATTAAAAAAAACATATCTTTTTTATCCAGCCTCCAGTTGATGGGCAATTGAATTGTTTCCAAATTTTAGCTATTGCAAACTGTGCTGCTATAAACACGAGTGTACATATATCCCTGTGGTATGAGTCTTTTAATTCTTTTGGGCAGATACACAGCAGGGAAATAGGTGGGTCAAATGGGACCTCTAATCTAGGTCTTTGAGGTATTTCCATACTGATTTCCACAATGATTGCAGCAGTCTGCACTCCCACCAACAGTGGAGAAGGTTTCCTTTTCCCCAACCCCACCAGCATTTGTTATTGGCTAATTTCTTGATAGCAGCCATTATTTTCTGGAGTGAGGTGGAATCTCAGTGTTGTTTTCATCTGCATCTCTCAAAGAACAAGTTATGTTGAACATTTTTCACGTGTTTATTTGCTATTTTTACTTATTTTTAAAAGAAATGTCTGTTCATTTACATTGAACAAAAATGGATGCCCATTTTTGGTTTGGGTCTTTAAATTGGGGGGATCAGATTTTTTAAAGTTATATATTCTAGATAGTAGCCCTTTGTCTGGAGAACAACTGGAAAAACTTTTTCCCACATTGTGGGATCTACCTTCACTCTATTGGTAGTTTCCCTTGCTGTACAGAAGCTTTTCAATAAGATGAGACCCCAGTTGTTGATTATTTGTGCTAGTTTACATGCAGATGACATTTTGTTCATGAAATCTTGTGTCAATATTTTCAAGAGTTCTAACTAATTTTTCTTCCACTGGTTTAGTGTTTCTGCTTTAATATTTAGATCTTTAATTAATTTCAATTTTACTTTAGTTCATGGTGAGAGATATAGGTCTAGTTTTAATCTTTGGCAAGTTGAAACCCAATTTTTTCCCAGCACCATTTATTAAAGAGGCTATCTTTCCTCCTATGAGGGTGTTTGTGTCCTTTGTCAAAGATGAGGTGGCTGAGTGTTTGTGGACTTCTTTCTGCATCTTCTAATATGTTTCACTGATCCTCAGATCTATTTCATTGCCAGCAATATGCTGCTTTTTATCACAGTAACTTTGCAATATAGTTTCAACTTGGGAATTGTGATACCACTTGCTTTGTCTTTTTTACTAGAATTGCTCTTGCTATTCTAGGTGTATTCTAGTTCCAAATGTATTGTTGAGTCATTGTCCCCAGTTCTATGAAGAATGCTGTTGGAGTTTCAATTGGGATTGCATTGAATCTATATAGAGTTTTGGAATTATGGCTATTTTTACTATGTTGATTCTTCCTACCCAGGGACAAGGGATGTCTTTCTATTTTCTAATATCCTCATCAATCTCTTTTTTCAGATTGCTATAGTTTAAAGAGTAGAGGTGTTTAATTTCTTTCATTAGATTTGTCCCTAGGTATTTCATTTTTTGGATGCTGTTAAATCTTTTTTTTTTTTTTCAGCTTTGAGTTTATTGGTACATTTTAGGGATACAGTACAGTTACATTCATTGTTGGGATCTTGTACCTCTACATGACAAGTCTTGATTCGCATTTTTTCCCCTTACCCCTGCCCTCCCTTCACCCCCTCCTCCCCTCCCCATATACAAACACTTTATTTTCATCTTTTCATTCTCTCACATTTTTTTCTTTTCCCTTTTTTTTTTTTTTACTCTTCCCCAGGATGCTGTTAAATCTTAAATCTCTTAAATCCATTTGTTCAAGAATTTGATTGTGTTATAGTATATTGTTGTTTATTTTTTGTCTAGTTAATCTATTTGTGACAGTGGGGTATTGAGCTCCATCACTAGTATTAGTGGTTATTTGATCTTTTATATCCATAATATTTATTTTATATAGTTGGGTGCACTAGTATTTGTTGCATATACATTTATGATTGTTTTTTCTACCTCTTAGATTTTTCCCTTTACAAGGATTTAATGGTATTTCTTTCTTAATTAGTCTTGGCTTAAAATATATTTTATCTTCAAACAGGACAACTAGTCCTGCTTTTTTTCAGGTTCCTGTCACATGGAGTATTGTTTTTCACCATTTAACTTTCAGTCTGTGAGTTTCTTTTTGAATTATATGTGTTTCTTATATACAGCATATTGTTGTACCTCTATCTATCTCCCTTGTCATCTATGTATATTTATATTTATAAATAATTAGATATTATATATGTTATGCAC